AATATCAGAATACCACATGTCGCAATAAAAGATGTCAATTTTTACATTGTACCAGCGTGGAACAACTTCGCTATGAACAAACAGGAATAATGACTGAGAATATGAAAAGAGAAGTCGGCCGAACTCCACAACATACTAATATATGTGGGGATTTTAAAATTAAAACTTGCAACAGACCAAAGTGTAAATTGCGGCATATCAAAGTACAAGATTTAAAGCCAATGACATGTGTCATATGTACAAATGATATAAGTGTTACAAATTTTGGTGCTGGAGATTGCGGACACATATTATGCTTAAATTGTGCTGTACGAACCTCACAGGATGTGGATGGACCAGCATTAAAAATATTATGTCCAATATGTAGATGTGAAAATGAATATAAAAAACTATATTAAATATTCTTAATACCTTTATAAAAATACTATGCGGAAATTTATGCGGAAGTCTTTCTTGATAATATTTCAAAATAAATAAATATTAAATATATTAAATTAAAGATAAATATATAATTTATGGAAGATAACCTCGACCGTGATATACATGTTTTATAGGATCATGAATTACCTGAATTACCTTAAAAAGAGAGTTAACTATTACTAATTATTTATTAAAAAGTTAAAAAATATGTTATTGTTTTTGTTATATTTTATGTAGTACTTTGTTTTTTATTCACTTGCTATTATAATTTTATAAGAAAGGATGTCTTACTACAAGATGGATTACAATTACATTTTTGTTTTATAATTGTACAATTCTTTTCTTGATTAGATATGTCACAATAAAAAATGCTTTTTAGAAGACCAATTATTCAAGATTGCATTACAGTTAGATACATATAATTGTTGTCTTAATCCGGATTGTGGTTTCCTATAATAGCCTGTGTAATATCTTATTACATTTCCTATAATCTATAAATAATGTATTTTGTTTTCTTGTTAAAAATATAAATACACATATAATTTATAAATTTATTCTTGTTCTAATTATATGTATTAAAGTAAATAATGTATCTGCATAATTCTGAAAAAATTGAAATTATTTTGTCCAATGCAAAATGTATGCAAATGATATTGTGTTTCTATTTTAATGTAATTTCTATATTTCATGATATTTTATGATAATTTTTCACGTGGAAAAGAAAAAGAAGAGAAAGGAACGGTGTATAAATTTAGCTAAACAGAACAGATTTACTAATAGGATATTTCATGATAAATATTCTACTAGTGTGTTTATCATACAATATAAATCAGAAATATAAAATATAGAAATTACATTAAAATTGAAACACAATATTATTCGCATATATTTGCATTGAATCAACTAATTTCAATTTTTCAAAATTATGTAGATACATTTTTTATTTTAATATAATTAAAATAGGAATATAAATTTATATATTATATGTACATTTATGTTTTTAACAAAAAAACGAAACATTCATATTTACAGATTAGGATTATGAATATTGGCCTTTCTCTGCTAAATGTAGTTACATGACGTAATTGCGCCTGCGTATAAAAGGTCTGTTCTTTTCAGCTGAACTGGCTGCAGTAGTTTAGAGGTTGTCTTTTTCCTTCCAATGTTGAGCAAAAGACATCCTCTGAACTAGTGCAGCCAGTTCAGCTGAAAAGAACAGACCTAAAGTCTAATGGCTTCTGCACACAGGACGCGGAAATGCTTGCCGCGCGACAAGAAGCGACGCGATAGCTAATAAACCTACAGCTCTTATTAAAAAGGTATGTTGATTAGTTACCGCGTCGCTTCTTGCCGCGCGGCAAGCATTTCCATGTCCTGTGTGCAGGAGCCATTACTCTCTGCATACCAATGTTTGAAAAAGGTATGAAAAGTGCGGAAACCATTACTATTACCCCTGGTCCACAATAGGTGATTTAAGCTCTAAGCTTTAAGAAATTGATCAATCACAGTTAGGTATTAGGAGAATACTCGACTATAGATTTGTTCGCGTCACATGCCCCAACATGCTCCTTTTCACTCCAATGCGATCCTATTGGATAATTTGGATAAAAGCTCCAATAGGATCGCATTGGAGTGAAAAGGAGCATGTTGGGGCATGTGACGCGAACAAATCTATAGTCGAGTATTCTCCTAATACCTAACTGTGATTGATCAATTTCTTAAAGCTTAGAGCTCCTTTTCACTCCAATGCGATCCTATTGGATAATTTGGATAAAAGCTCCAATAGGATCGCATTGGAGTGAAAAGGAGCATGTTGGGGTATGTGACGCGAACAAACCTTAAGATTGGTCAATTTCTTAAAACTTAGGGTTTAAATCACCTATTGTGGACCAGGGGTTAGAATTTTATATTTAATTTTTTATATTTAAGATCGTTTTAAGGTCGGGTTCACCGATAGGTGATTTAAACCCTAAGGCTGGCTTCACATGGAGCGTAACTTGCACCGACCAATCACATTATCTCATTTGCAGCTGATACTCAAATGAGACGATGTGATTGGTCGCCGCAAGTTACGCTTTACGCAAGTTACGCCTCATGTGACGGCACCCTAAGGTTGGAGTCCCATGGAGCAGATTGTGCGGAAGCGGAATTAGCGGATTACCAATCACGAGATTGTTCTGATGTAACCTTTTCAAAGATTACGTCGAAGCAGTTCTGTGATTGGTGATCCGCTAATTCCATTTCCGTGCAATCCACTCTATGGGACTTCAGCCTAAGCTTTAAGGCCATTGCACGTAAAAAAGTTTTAGTTATAACCGTAGGATTTGACCAATCGCGTTGTTTGATTCTTACTGCTACGGTTATGGATGGCCGAATCGAGCAACGTAATAGGTTGAATCTTACGGTTACGACTAAAACTTTTTACGTGCAATGGTTTTAAGGCAGCGCGAGTAACCTCACCGAAAAGAAATACGTCACTGTTTAAAACTTAGGTTGCGTTCCAAAACGTCCTCTTCGAGGAAAATTTTACTTAAAAAGCTATAGTGTACGTTACGTGCATTATAAATTTTCAGTGGAATTTTCCTCGAAGAGGACGTTTTGGAACGCAGCCTTAAATGATAAGGCTTAGGGCTTATATCACTTATTGTATGCCGGGACTTAGGCCTAAATTCATAGTCCGATCTTATATTTAAGATCGTCTTAAGTCCGAGCTTAAGACGCCACGGAGCCATTTGATTGGTTGAACAGAATCTTAAGTCAACCACCGACCAGATTTAAGACGATCTTGAATATAAGATCGGACTATGAATACCGGTCTATGAATATCGGTCATATGGCTCCTGCTCACAGGACGCGGAAATGCTTGGCGCGCGGCAAAAGCGACGCGGTAGCCAATAAATTACAGCTCTTAAGGTGCCTTTTTATGCTGACGTTAGACGGTAAATTTCAGCGTCAAAAGACGTCATGTGATCAAAATTGACGAATTGGTATCTTTATTTTTGGTCACGTGACGTTTTTGACGCTGAAAATGAGCATCGAGCGTCTCCATGAATTTGCACCTTTAAGGCGCAATTTCACGTGCCGCTAAAACAAGCGATTGAAGCGACAGATTTGTCGCTTGTAATCCAGCGTCAACAATTTTGTAGTTTGAATCAGTTCAACTACAAAGCATTTACTGCTCAAACGCTGATGCACTGTCACAGATTAGTTGATAGTGTCGTGTATACTGAAGAAAACATAATGTGTTGATGACATGCGAAAATAATTAATAAATCTTGCACTTTCTGATCTTATATATGGTAAGGTAACTTTATAAAAGCCATGCTCGTTACGATTTTGAAACAGCGGTGCAAAACTTTTTTTTAGAATATCTTTTTTGAGTTTGATTTGTCAACAGCAAACTAATAGCAAAAATAATATCATTGTTATATTTGATTTCACTTTCTCGAATCATGTACGATTACAATTTAGTAGCCAATTGTTATATTTTTGTTTTCTAGAAGCCATTGCGTAATATACAAATTAATATAACTGGTTATACACAAATAATGCAAATTTTGTTTTTAACTGATTACACAAACGACGCAAAATTTGTCTCTCAACTTTCAATTCTGTCGCGCTACTATCCTTTTCATGTCAAAAATTATCGCTGTTTAGTTTAGCGACAAAAGTTGTCACGTGATCATTTTTGTCGCTCAAACAATCGGTTTCAGCGGCTCGTGAAAAGGCACCTTTATTAAAAAGTGGTACGTTGATTGGCTACCGCGTCGCTTCTTGCCGCGTAGCAAGCATTCCGCGTCCTTTGTGCAGCCATTACTCGCTACCATAGAAACTCGATACCAAAAAAAGCGCGAAAGCCATTACCGTTAGAATTATTACGTCTTACTTTGATGGTCGTTTATTTTGCTATTGTTAATTTGTCGTTTAATTTGCTATTGTTGTTTTGCTACTGTTGTTTTAATTAGACAAACGAAATACTAATATTAAAATTAATTGATGCAAAAATCAAAATGTATTATCTATTATGTACCAACAAATATTATAGTGTCTACAACATAAAACAGCTAAAGACAAAAAAGATTAAAAAATCATGCATTATTGCAACCAACAGTAAGTACAATAAAATATAAATTCATATACTTTAAAATAAAGAAAATATCTAGAACATTCAAATTCTAATATGATTTATTTGTATGATTCATTTTTTGTAATAAAAGTGCAAAGTATTATAATTTTATGAGCAATTATGTATTTAAAGTTCGATTGTTATTTTAGAAAAAAAATTCAGCTTGCAAAAGATTGCAGATAATCTAAACAAGAAGATTCCAAAAGTGAAGTTAACAACTTTATCAGGTATTATTATATATATGTTCAATTAATGTATAATTGTTATGTTAAATCTTTAACATAATACAATTATGTTCATGAAAAATGGTTTAAAGTTTTATAATTAGTACATAAAGTTTACTTATAAAATTATATTTACTTTATCTTCATAAATTTGTTTTAAAGATTTTTAACCAACTGCCAATTCCAATGCTACGTTAAATGTTGATACATCAAATGTGACATGAAATCAAAGAAAGCACTTGCCTTCCGTCAAGCAGTAACTGTGATACTGAACAATGCAATATAAAGTCTAATTTTAATTTGATAAGTTGTGATAATACAAATGACAGTGATAATATTAAAGATTCTGCGCATTTGACTGCAGATGCTCCTTGTATCGATGAGAATCTTAATACATTAGTTGTTAGTAACAATATTGAGAAAAGCGGTGAGTCTATGATATACATATAATCAATCAAATTTTAATACATTATACAGCAGACATTCTAGATACAGTCTTTCTACGTATTTTGCGTGACAACACATTAACAGCTTTTGCAACATCATCAGTTGCTTGCAATAAAATGTCTCTACCCTATTTTTTATCTTATTTCACAGATTCTCCAACAACTGTCAATTCCAATGCTACTTTAAATGTTGATGCATCATATGTGACATTTGAAATCGAAGAAGGCACTTGCGTTCCATCAAGCAGTAACTGTGATACTGAACAGTGCAATATAAAGTCTGATTTTAATTTGATAAGTTGTGATAATACAAATGACAGTGATAATATTAAAGATTCTGCGCATTTGACTGTAGATGCTCCTTGTATCGATGAGAATCTTAATACATTAGTTGTTAGTAACAATATTGAGAAAAGCGGTGAGTCTATGATATACATATAATTAATCAAATTTTAATACATTATACAGCAGACATTCTAGATACAGTCTTTCTACGTATTTTGCCTGACAACACATTAACAGCTTTTGCAACATCATCAGTTGCTTGCAATAAAATGTCTCTACCCTATTTTTTATCTTATTTCACAGATTCTCCAACAACTGTCAATTCCAATGCTATTTTAAATGTTGATGCATCATATGTGACATTTGAAATCGAAGAAGGCACTTGCGTTCCATCAAGCAGTAACTGTGATACTGAACAGTGCAATATAAAGTCTGATTTTAATTTGATAAGTTGTGATAATACAAATGACAGTGATAATATTGAAGATTCTGCGCATTTGACTGTAGATCCTCCTTGTATCGATGAGAATTTTAATACATTAATTGTTAGTAACACTATTGAGATAAGCGGTAAGTGTATAACGTATAATTAATCAGATTACAAAACATTATGCGGAGCATGTTCTAATATTTATTGCCAGTACTGAAAATCTATAATATACATAAACTATAGATTTTCAGTACTGACTGTGTATATCGAATATGCCCACAGTGATCATTCTATATGCAGTTTTATTTACATATTTTGCGTTACAATACATTACAGCTTTTGCAACATCAGTTACTTGCAATAAAAGTTCTCTACTTTATTTTCATAAATTTTGTTTACAGATTCTTTGCCAGCTATTAATTCTAATGCTACGTTCAGTATTGATACAGCAAATGTGAATTACGATATCGAAAATGTTTCGACAATAACTAAGATTTCGGATGTTAAACAGAGCGTTCAATGTTGTAATAAATTTTATTCTACTTCTAAAATATGTGAAAATGCGAATGTTATTGAGAAATTTAGAAAAACTAAAAAACCTAAAAAAACTCCGAAGATTCTAGAAATACAAAATGTTAAGATATTACTAAAGAAGATTCCAGTGCACACAGAGAAAGTTGATAATATTACAAATAGTATACAGATGAATAATACGTATAATATCGATAATAGTGATGTTTCTTCAAATGCAAACGGGACTTACGTTATCGATAATATTTCAAGTGAAACATCTTGTCCAGTTGCAGAATCTACACTCATAGAGAATCAGTTAGACTTAGAGTGTGAAATCCATAATAATAATTCTGAGTCTGATGATACATCCATTACATCTAAAAATAATTTAGATAGTAGTTTTCATTTGTCAGATTGTTCTAAGCTTGAAGACACAGATGAAGATGAAGATGAAAATGAAACTAAAAATACACATGAACGTACGATTAATACAAGTAAAAATAAATCTGTGAACAGGACATTAAATTTGACATCAACATTTTCATCTGAAGTATGTGATGATAGAAATATGTATGTGGAAACTTCCAATAATCCTAAATTAAAACAAAATATGTGCGTATATTGTGAAAAATTTCAAGCGCAAATTGCAAGACATTTAGAAACAGTACATAAAGAAGAAGAAGATGTGAAAAAGTTTCGTCTTTTACCTAAGGGTAAGTTGTATGTTATATACAAAGTTGCCAATACTATTTAGAATATCTAAAAGTTAATTGAAATCGAAGTTCCTAATGTGAAAATGTCAAAGAAAATCATTTATCATAGCTTTTCAAATTTTAATACTTTATATATTTAAAATTATGCTTTTTAAAGTAAATATCTATTCAAGTTAATCACTCAAAATTTTAAAAATAGAATTTTGTTATCTATATTCGGCTAATTACATTCAAAAACGTTTTCTTGTTTAATCGCTCATAACTTGAAAACTGTGAATGCATCATCTTTCTTATTAACACATTTCCATATATAACTTGTACATATACTACTAAAGTATATGTATAACTTCATTTTAAACAATAGTCTTTAAATTTAAAAAAATATATAAAAAATTTTGCCAACTATAATATTTGATCAAATAATTTCTGATACTTTTCAAATATTAATAATTTATTGTGTGTATATTATGTGTAAAATTTTTAATAATTTACTTTTAATTTAATCATAATTTATTATACATTTTGTACTTACTATTTCAGGTAATCCGGAACGAAAGAAGATTATTGGTCTACTTAGACGAAAAGGAAATTTCATATATAATACTAATTCTAACTTAAATAAAGGAGATTTAATTGTATGCCGGCGTCCAAGAAATGAATTGAATAGACAAGCAGCCGATTTTATTCCTTGTGCTAAATGCAAAGGGTTTTTTTCTAAAAATAATATAAGACATCATTTTGCATCATGTGCGCCAAAAAGGGAATATCCTCAAAGAAATGTTAAAATATTGGGACGTACTGTGGCTTGTCGAATTCATTACAGTGCAAATACACCATTAAGAAGATTGGTGTTCCCAGTAATGAGGGAAGACAGCGTAACTCAAATTATTAGATATGATGAACTGCTAATTGCTTTTGGCAATAAAATGTGTCAGAAGTATCGTCTCCAACATCAGCACGATATGATTAGAGCGCGACTGAGATTACTTGGACGATTTCTTATTGTTTTGAGAGATCTTGATAATAGTATAGTAGATTTCTCTTCAATATATAATCCAACAAATTATGAACAATGCATTAAAGCTGTAAATAAACTTGCACAATTCGATGAAAAGACTTGGACATATAAAATACCATCTATTGCAACATCTTTAGGAACACTTATAAAACAAATTGGGAAACTTTTAAGAAGTATATGCATTAAGAAACAAGATTGTAGCAAACAAACTGTGGTAGAAAATTTTTTGAAATTATTTGAAGAGGATTATCCTGTTGCTGTAAATAAAATTGTGTTTGAAACTCAAGGGCATCGAAAAAGGCAAAAGAATATTGTCTTGCCATCTATAGATGATATAAAAATATTCAATGCTTATCTCAAAGCTGAACGCATAAAAGCTCTAGAATCTTTACAAACAAATGGTTTCTCAATTCACGCATGGCGTATGTTAACTGAAATAACATTAATATCGATTATGATATTTAATAGAAGACGTGCTGGTGAACTGGAGCGTGTTTTAATTGAAAATTTGGAAAATTGTGCGGCAATTTCAAAAGAAGAAGCACCTGAATTATATAAATCTTTATCTAAATATGTACGGATGACAATACGCGGCAAATTAGGGAGAACGGTTCCTGTGTTACTCCATGAAGAAATATTAAAATGTATGCAAATGATTATTAATTATCGTAAAGATGCTGGCGTACCCGAAAATAATCCTTATATTTTTGGTATATATTCACTCGACAAAAGAAGATTCAAATATTTGAGAGCATGTGTATTAATGCGAAAATATTCTGTAATTTCTGGGGCAAAAATGCCAACTTCGTTACGAGGTACAATATTGCGGAAACATATTGCTACAGTATGTATGTCATTAGATATATCTGAACATGAAGTGAATAATCTAGCTGATTTCATGGGCCATCACGAAAAAATACATAAATCGCACTACAGACAGTCAATCGTAACAAAAGATTTGGCTATATCACGTTTACTCAAATACGCACAAGGAGGAGACACAACAGATGAAAGTGATAATGTTGATGATGAAAATGAAAACAGGGATGATTCGATTAATAATGATAACTCAAATTTAAGTTTAAATACTTCTGATACTTTATCATTAATACAAACGAGATCATCTAAACTGCCACTGTTCGAAAATCGAACGTCTAATGCAAAAAAAAAAAAAAGCTTAAAACATTATTGCGTTAAAAATGCAATCATTTCGTTCACATGCAACATGCCTCATGCGTCACCTTATATTAATATTAATTCAAATAGCGCTCGGCCGCACAGGTATACGTATACCCCGCGCCTCCAAAAAGGAAGCGCTTACGTCAAATCACCGATAATGGTAAACACCGCGGTCGCGCTAGAGGAGATACAATTTAGTCCCGATAACAACAAAATATGACTTGCTAAAAGGTAAATAATTATCGCAAACGTACTTTCGCCCTTAACATCTCGATCGAACAAGAGGAAAATGTTCGCGAAGGTTCTCGAAATCCGGGCCTATATAAACTCCTCTCTCGTGACCGCGGGTCTCTTTCCGATTGCTCGTCGCGAATAGAGTGTGCTTTTACTTTCCGAAAAAGATCGCTTGTCTTTTTCGGTTTTCTCGTCTAATTACCGTTGCTTGCGGAACAGTCAGTAATTTATTTCGACCCGGCTTTTCTCTCGTTTATTGCATTCATTTCTAATACATTCGACTCGGCTATCTTTCGGCAAATTCAGTGCGGAATATTAATTGTAATTTTTGTTAAAAGTTTATATAAATATATTCTTTTTTGTGAACGTTACGCGTGTGTCGAGTGTTGTGTCTATCTCTCAGTCTCGCTTCCGACCACGTCCTATCCATCTTTCCGTCGCGC